GTCAATGTGTACATTTAAGAAAAAGATCAAAGCTGAATTGTTAAAAAAGTATATATGAAGTAGCTTAGTGTGTGTTTTGTATTAGAATTAGAAACATTAGAAAGTTATTCATTTTGTTCTGTTACTTGAAAATTATTATGATTGAAATAATTGTTTGAAAAAAGGGGCAGTTATAATAAGATTTTTTCTTCTTTCTGCTGCCTTTCATTTTAAATCTTTTGTATCTTTTTTTATATTGTTATGGAATTGTTTTGTACTGTTTTAAAATGAATAAACTTTATACCATACCATACAATGCTCATTCTGTGACATGTTCCAAGCTTTATGCATCCGTGTATGTAATCTGTCTTGAATGTGTCCTTGCAAGTAAAATCCTGGTTAAATATCAGCCGTTTAGTGTGGTTCTTTTTGGGTAAACAAAGTCAGTGAGAGACATTTTCCTCTAACAAGACAAAAACAACAGGCTGAAACAAACAGTCTGAATCAAACAGCTACAATCCAAATCAAACAAAACAGCAACAACAGTTGAAACAAACAACGAAAATAGTTTGAAACAAACAAGAACAACTACAACAACAAAATTCTAAAGCAAAAATCTGAAACAAACAACAACAGTCTGAAACAAACAAAAAAAGTCTAAAATAAAAATATGAAACAAACAACAACATTACTAATTTGAAACAAACATAAGTAGCCAATCAGCAACAGCAAGTTGTGTTTAGACCTTGAAGCTTCTCTTCCTTTTCTGGACATTCTGCTCTGGGTGGATGATGATGATGTAAACTTTGGGGATGTAGAGCATCCCGAGTGAGACAGAGGCACTCAGAGACATGGACACAGTCAGAGTGGCTGTCTGGATGAACATCTGTGGAGATAGAAAAAGTCACAAAAGGGAATCATTTTCTCCTCAACTGAACAGATGCAGAACAACCACAACATGGAGCAGGTAGGTGAAAAGATTTTAATTTGGAAACATTTGGGCAGGTCCCTATAGTGTTAAAAACTTAGATCCTTAGATAGAGAACTTTACTAATTGGCTTTTCTATGTATGTGAATGTTCCTGTAAAGTGCCCTGAGACAACTTTTTTGTGATATGGCGCTATATAAATAAACTGAATTGAACCCTTTTCGTGAAATAAAAAGGGTGACTGGTACAATGGGCAGTAGTTGAAGCTTACTCTGGCGCTCTGACCCTGGCTTACTGAAGTTGGCTCTTGGGGCATGAAATGTCACCTCTCTGGTGAGGAAGGAGTCTGAGCTTGTGCGTGGGGTTATGAGGTACCAACTAGATATAGTCAGACTCACCTCAATGCAAGAAGTGGGCACTGGAACCAATTCTACTCTGGAGATGCCCAAGGTTAGAGGCGCTAGGCTGGTGTGGGCCTATTTATTGTCCTTTAGCTTAGTGCCTGTGCATTACAGTTTTCTTAAGGAGGGGTTGAAGGAGTGGTCTCTGACTGTTGTTTGTGCCTATGCATCAAACATCAGTTTGGCAAACCCAGCCTGAGAGTACATAGCAGGTGTGCTGGAAGGTGCTCTAGCTGAGGACTCTTTCTCCTCCTGTCCTGGGGACTTCATTGTCTATGTAAGTAGTGACAGTGTGACCAGGAGGTGCATGATTGAGAGGAATCACATCTCTGATTTTACCCAGATTGGTGTTCTGTTGGATGTCAGTGCAATTCATGGTTAGTCCATAACAAACATCATATTCAAACTTAGGCACACTACAATGTTTCTATAAGTGCACATGGCACAGGGACACCATAGGCCACTGATCAAAGATAGACTTTGTAGTTGTGTCATCAGATCTGCAGTTGCATATTTTGGACACTTCATGTGTTTATCTGCAACAACACACAAGAAATGCTGCTATCATAAAGATGCTGATGTTTTAAAACTACCAAATGTAGCAAAATCCTACCCTAATGTTCTTCTTTGAAACTGTTGTTTGTCTACAGAGGTCTGCTTCAGTTCTGATTAACTATGGTCTGTTTAAGATAATGTCAAAGGCACTGACTCTTAATAATACTCTTAATTCATAACCTGATGCATGCTCAATAATCCAGGTAGAAAAATCTAAAAAAGTTAAGTCTGGTCCTCTGGCCATTTAAAAAACAAAACAAACAAACAAAAAGTAGGAACATCCTGATGCATGCTCAATAATCCAGGTAGAAAAATCCAAAAAAGTTCAATCTGGTCCTCTGGACATTCAAAAAAACAAAAAACAAAAAGCAAAAAATATAGGAACGGTTCGTCTCTCATCCGAGAGACTTCCTTGATCCACTCTGAGAAGGTGCTATTTTAGAGACTGAGCTGAATACAGCACCTCAGACTGAGGAAGTCTCTCGGATGAGAGACGAAATGTTTCTATATTTTTTGCTTTGTTTTTTTTTTTTTGTTTTTTTGAATGTCCAGAGGACCAGATTGAACTTTTTTTGGAAAAAGTAGAAACATTTCATCTTTCATCCGAAAGACTTCTTCAGTCTGAGGAGCTGTGTTCAGCTCAGTCTTATAAATAGCACCTTCTCATAGTGGATCAACCAGTGTGCTGCTGACAGCCAAAACCAGCTGCTCACATGATCAAGAAGGGCCATCAGCCTAACAATGGATTGTTAGCACCCTGATGGCTGTTTGCTATTCACAGAGGGCTGAGTGATACTAGCAATAACAGCATTGTAAGAGGGAGATAGCTGAACACGGAGGCCTCCACCTCTGTTTAATGATGGACGGTTTATTTTCACAAAGATGGCCTCCTTTACTCCTCTCTCAAACCATCGTTCTTCTCTATTCAGGATGTGAACATCTTCATCCTTGAAAGAGTGACCGCTAGCCTGGAGATGAGTGTAGACCACAGAGTCCTGGCCTGATGATGTTGATCTTCTGTGCTGGGCCATCCTTTTGGCCAATGGCTGTTTAGTTTCCCCCATGTAAGACTGATCATAACCCTCCTGACACTGAACAGAATACACAATATTACTCTGTTTGTGCCAAGGGACTGGATCTTTGGGATGAACTAGTCTTTGCCATAATGTATTTTGGGGTTTAAAAGCCACTGGGACATTAGAAAATAAATGTCTTAGATTCTCTGATACTCCCGCAACATATGGAATGAACACTGGTCTGGGTCTGGGTTCCTCATTTTCACCTAATGGCTGGTTGGAGTCATGTTTTGTTCTGTTTTGTTTTGTTTCATTTTGTTGAATGTCCAGAGGACCAGACTTAACATTTTTAGACTTTTAATTCATGTTATTAACTTACTTTTATATATATGAATGCTTTTGTACAGTGCCCTGAAATGACTTCTGTTCTGACTTGGCGCTATATAAATAAAATGAATTGAATTGATGTATTCACTGATGCTCACCAGGTTTTCACCTGAATCAGACAAAGACTACATTCTGGAGCTCAAACATGAATCTGTCATTATCCACCTAGTCTTGTCTGGATTTACATTTTTCTGCCTGGTTCTTACCTTCTCGGTGGACTGAGCAGTACCAAAGAAGATGGGTACAAAGGCGAGCCAGACAATGCAGGTTGTGTACATGGTGAAGCCAATTGGTTTAGCTTCATTAAAAGTCTCTGGAACACCTCGACTCTTCACTGCATACACCGTACATGTTACCTAGCAACAGAAGAAGCAACTTTTATGACTGATGATTACTTAGTAACAGAGGAAGCAACCAGCTCCTCCATGAATTGAAACTTTATCGTGGTGGAGAAGCTTGTGTTCCTGAATGATCCTGAGTGTTGCTGATGGAGGCAATTGTCCCTGATAGGGTTTTCCAAGGCAACCTGGTCTTAGTGTTACTACAAAATGAAGGTGATGACCGGAGGTCAGTTGCTTATGTATCTAGATCAGTGACAACAGCAGAATGTAAATATGCTCAAATAAAAAAGGAGTGTCTAGAATTAGTAAATGGGTTTGAGAAATATCAATAATACATAAACGGACTACCAACATTAGATGTGCCCTCTTCTGTTCCGTCCCCCCACTTCACTGCTTTGCTCTCTTTCATCTTGTGAACGCTTTAATGAACCTCTTTTTTTCCTGCATACCTTCCTAATTCTAAGGAATTTGATCAGCTAGTTTCTCAACATTATGGATCAACTTCTCCCGATAGGAAGTCAGGGTAAGGAGGACCTTCTTACCTTGATGGAAACAATTGAATTCATGATGACAACTAGATTCTGCTGTTTGGGTTGTGACATCTGGATTGTCTACAAATTTGTGTGGATGTTTCAAAACGTGGCAGCGCTCAGACTAAATTATGTGGCGCTGCGTCAGAGAGATGGAGCAGGCTGTTATCAGGACTGTGAACTTTCTGGCAGCACCCATGAATGGTGGGAATAATCTTGAAGAAGCTGTAAGCTCAACTTTTATCATAAGGAATCAATTTGGCTGTTTGGAGTCACCATCAGAGAAATGTACCAGCGAGACTTTAAAAGGTAGAAACTGCAATTTACGAGTTCTCTTTGACCCAAACTGTGGCCTTGACGGCGGACTTATCACGATACCTCCTGTCATGTTTAGGAAAAACAAAGATGCTTTGTCTGTCTTCTCACCCCTCCCTTCCCCAAGGTCGTGGACATGTGACGGAACCTCAACCAAGCTGATGATAACAAACAACCCTTATCTGGACAATGGCTGAGGGGGGCTCTGGACCATGCTATGACATTCCCTTAAAATTAAATGCCTTCACTGGCCTATATGTATTATGTCTATGTTGCTTTGCTGTGGTAGGGTTTTTTTATGCCTCAAACCATGCCCTGTTTAGGACATGTTGTGAGAGAACTTTTTTATACCTTTTCTCCTCATGTTTTCTTCCCTTTTCTCATCTATGCAAAAATATTATTCTGAATAAGAATATCTCAGAAAGGGAACATTGGAAAGTGCTAAAGCCATGAACACACGGTGGGGAAGATGGGAAGACATCCTTCTGGATCCCAATTTAGAGATAGGACCTGCACAACCGGCTGACAAAAAGGTGACGAAAGCCACACCTATGGAACCAAAACCAAATGAATGGACCCTCTGCATATATGGATCAAAAAAGGGATTTGATCAGGTGATGCATTGGGGATTCATCCTGAAACAACATGGAAACAAGTGCTGCCGTAGAAGAGGGAGAGTTCCAGGAAGCGCCCAAACCAGGGAAGTAACAGCGGTACTGGAAGGACTGCTTGAACTGACAAACAGAAAAATAAAGATGGCAAGAATCGTAACAGACAGCTATTATTGCACACAAGCCCTGAAAGAGGATTTATCCATTTGGGAAGAGAATGGATTTGAGAGTGCAAAGGGGAAAGTGGTGGCTCATCATGACTTGTGGAAGAAAATAGCTGAGCTAAGGCTAAACCTACAGTTAGAGATAGAGCACCAAAAATCCTACACCAGAGAAGGAAAGCACTGGCAGGGAAATGATGAAGTGGATTGATATGTTCAACAAAGAAAGATCGTTTTTGTCGGGATCGAGAAGTGGGACAGTACCTCCCAGGGTAGGAGGGTCCCAGAAGAGTACGTGGTTCAGGTGGTACAGAGTGTGCATGACACCCTAGGACATGCAGGAGTATTGCCTACACGTAAGGAATTAGAGAAGCAGGAGCTCTGGATTCCCTTGAAACAAGTCCGTAAGGTGCTACAGGACTGTGAAGTATATGGTCACGGCGTGGACACCGAATGGATGGGCAGACTATTAAGAGTACCACACCATGGGGTTCTGTGTGCATGGACATTGCCGGACCCATGGAAGTCACTGGAAAGAAGGGAGAAAATACCTTCTAGTGCTAGTGGATTCTATGTCAGGGTACGTAATAGTGAAACCAGCAAGGAAGGCTAACGGGAACAGCGTGGTCAGCATGCTGGAGCAAGTTTGTGGGTCGTTAGGTGTGCCAAAAGAACTAAGAACTGATAAAGGAACATATTTCCGCAATGCACAAGTTGACCACTGGTGCCGGACATTTGGGGTGATGCGTGTTTACTCACCACCCTACACACCACAAGCCAACGGAGTTGCCGAAAGAACAATAGGTCTGGTCAAAAATTAGATAGCTAAAAATGTTCACACCAAAGAATGGAGTACCAAGACTGTGGAGATAGGGCAAGTGTTGAATGACAGGCATCAAGCTAATAGGCCCTCCCCTGCAGAGGAACTCAACCAACAACAGTTCACCACCCAGGAGAGTGGGCAGGACTCTAAGGATAAGGAGGAACAGCCAGAACTTGACATCTCATTCAAGGTGGGACAGAAGGTGTGGATTAAGGCACAGGATCACACAATAACTACAGCAGTAAAGCCTAAATACAGCACCACAGACAGAGTAAAGAAGATATTAGATAAGAACAGTTGAGCTAGAACAGAAAGGGATCCAAGGAGTAGAGCAACTGAAACCAATTCCTAGCTGAGTTGAAACCAGAAACCAGAGTATGGCCAATGAACCAAGCACCATGCTCCCCTACATCAGAATGGCCACTGTATATGGGGGAGTTGTATTATGAAGAACGACTTCAGGGTTTTGGGCAGGTAGAGCACTGAAGACAATGGAATATACTAAAAAAGGATACCTGTCAACAGAAAATGAAGCCATCAAGTAGAGCGAATTGTAGAACAACTGTGTAATTTACTTGAAGCCCAGCAGCCTTCCACTTCGCTGGGAAGGCCCAGGGAGGAAGAAGCCTCTCAAAACTACAACTGACAAGCTGGATGTCCAAGATATGGAAGTAAAGCCCGTGAAGGTGATGGACACTTTCATCTGCGGTGAATATAGAATTGCTACTCTACCACGGATAACCATCCCACAGTGGGAATTATATGGACCACGCCCAAAAGAATGTACTTGTGAATGGGATGGGACCGCCGTCAAATAATGTGAAGACTGCTCAATCCAAATGCAAGATGGATGGCTACTCTACTCAGAAAGAGCTGAGGGTTGGCAAATAAGAAGGTATTATGATCCACTAAAATCCTTCAAAACTCAACTAGATGAGAAGTTTGAAGCCCCTAAAAGATCCCTGTAGTACTAGGGTATAATGTGGAACCAAATGGTAAACCAACTGCACCGCCTCTGTACCCTAGGTTAGGTGGAGTAGGTGAAGGGATGAAAACCGTGAGAGGCAAAATGCGCTGGAACCCTCGAGACTTGTTAGAACAGTCAGTGCAGCAGTCTTGGCCTTACAGCCCCTCTATGGGGAAAGCAAGAGATACGCCCCTTGGCACTAATCAGTACCCACTAGTTTTCAGAGTGTTTCGAGACCCGAGGGAAACAAACAACGCTGAAGACCGACAGCTGCCTGATGAGGTAAAAGACAAAGCCCAGAGAGGTGGGTGGGAAGGTCCCTGGGAGCTGGTGACATGGGCCCAACTTATAGCTGAGGTAATATTAAACCAAGATCTTCCATTGGTAGACCTACCTGACGTTCCTCGTGAAGGAGGAACTAGATACTTAAATCTGTATTATTATACAACTAGCTTAGACACATAGGCTGTGCAAGGGGCAAGGGCAAAGCAGAAATCAGCTGAATACTTAGTGACATCGGAGGCCTGGGAGCGACACAGGGCACTGCAGATTCCTGGAACTGCTGCCCAGTGTGTAGACACTCCCATACTGTCTGACTCCACCCACAGAGTTAGAGTTTCTGTGCAGATGATTGTGGTACCATACCATATAGGGGAGTATACTCAGTTGGAGCAACACTCAGCACAATCGAGGAAAGTAGAGACGAGAAAGAAACATCCCAAACAAGTAAATCAGAGAAAAGACAAAGTGTACTGAATGCCTGGGCTTCAAGACGTTTCAGAAGAAATGGATGCAGAAAGACAAGAAAGCGGAAAAATAATACCAAAACAACGGGGCGCTAGAACAATCAATGAATCTCACAGAAAAAGGAACCGGAAAAGCAGTACTAAAACGGTGGATCAAATTATACGATGCCCTTATTGGCTTTGGGGGGTGAAGAGACAATGTAAAGCTAGTTGATTGGATCGGGACGAAGGTAAAGTGGGGAAGGATTCAAGTTCCCCAGGGGGATAGTCACCGAAATACACAGGGACTAATCCACTCAGACATATGGAACCTGATGATTCAACGGCATAGGGCTAGACCATACAGGCCTGCCCTGGTCGTGGGAAGAAAATTGATAGAATTAGATCGGCCCATAAAGGACTATTCGATGCTCAAGCACTGTACAGAAAGTTCTTACAATTTGCTAGTGAACTACGATTGACCAAGGGATCTTACAGAGGCATATTACGAATATGGCCATCCAATAAACTCCCTACTCGACTATCTGGGGGAACCACGGAATCCCTGCCTGATGGGAACACCATGGATTTTTAATATTGTCCACTGCGAGGTAGCTGGGAAAAGAATGAAGCTCAAGTGGGGCCCCAATTACCTGGGGATCTACTAGGCACCGTTCTGTGAAATTTCCGTAGGTGAAATGGCGATTTGGACAACCAGCCCAGCCATGCAGAGGGAGACCTACACAAGAGAATGTAACCCAAACTGGGTTGTCATTAAAAACTCAAGCCTCCCGTTACAAATGTTGCATGATAGGGTTGTAACTCCATACGGCGACAGCCACGCTCCACCTATCAGAATGGGTCATAGAGTGAAAGTGTCATA